CGAAAGTCGGCAATAGTACCGAAAGATAGAGCATTCCCGATTTGGTAGGACATATTTTTGCTTTTCTCAATAAAAAAAACATTTCTTTCCATTTTAGAGGAGATGGACGGGTGATCTCGACGACCCTATATACTCTTCCTTTCTTTGTATGTTCTTTTTGCATCTGTTAATACTCACATCACCTACAAGCAATGCAGAAAAAATTCTTTCGCTGTTGCGAAACTAGAACTAATTTTTCCCGTTGTTTTGTTGGGAAACGCTTGTTCTTCTAGGATTGGTGTTAAGCGATCATGAATTCAATTACAGCGAAAAGTGTAACATTGAAAACGACTGTTATATGGGAGGTAGGCGTGGTTATTGTCTGAGTTCGCCCATTTTCAATACCATTCGTCCTATTGACCGAAAGTGTTGGACTGAGGTATTTCATGTTGTTTTAGTCCACGAGTATTTGAGAAGAAATGAGCTAATTAAAGTCCCATTATTCTTTAGAACCTAAATAATATTGAACAAAGTGTTTTGTTCATCTTATTTTCGTTCGTAAAGTGTTTCTTGTTCCCATAACTTTTGATAAGTATAATTCTTAATTTCAAACAAATATAAAAACTTTGCTTAACTGCAGCTGTGTAACAGCTAAACAGCAGCCATTTATCACCAACTCTTTCTTTCATTTAGCGTTGATTGTCGTTTTCACTAATGCTTCTCGCTTATTTTATCCCTAACATTACTGTTTTGTACTATTTGCTGTCTTTCTATTTACTTACATCCACCTCATTATTCTTCCTTTTCCTTGTTGTTCCCTATTATTGCTATTTTGTTGCATTTCTCAATGCAAACTTCGTTGTCCATGTGCCGCAAAATGAATCAAGCAAAGCTATGTTGTCGGTGTCCATTAAATATTGATTTCCTTATTATCTTTCATATCCTTTATTTTGTGCAGAGTTCTTGCCGTCAACGTGGCTTTTGTTACTGTCCGGTGGCTTCGTTCATTCTTCATTATGCTCGTTGATGGCGTGGATTTGTAAAAGTTGGATAGTTTGACTTTAGGGTATGTATGTACATATGTTGACGCATTGCGGTCAGTTAGTAGATAGCTTTTATTTTCTCTTACCACCTTTTGCGACGGTGGCTAGTTGCTGGATGTTGTCTGCGATTTGATGTTTAGTGGTCATGTATTTCAAACTATAACCAACATACATACATCTGCACTCTGAATCTGTGGTTATTTGAAAAAAACTACAAGTAAATTTAGAAGATTTCAATCCATGAAAGTTACGAGAAAATGGCGTATGTATGTAAGTATAATGCTTTGATGTAGCTCTGCGAGTTAGGCTCCGTGCAATATGTGTTGGCTAAGATTGAAATTAAATGAAATACATATACATACATATTTGCTTTCCGGAGCATATCAAAAATCGGTTTCTGGAAGTACATGGCAGATATTAATGCCAGTCTGTACATCTTGTTCTATGAGAATTTCTTCCCTCGACAGTCGTAACTATGCTACTGGAACGATCTTGATTAAGCACTCCACAGTTCTTAAATAAAACTTATTTTTACATTTTGAAAAAAAAAATGAGGGAGCTCAAACCTGGCTGGTTAGTGAGGTATCTAGTTGTGTTTATTTTTGTTTCAGTTAGCAACAATAAAGTTCACTGAAGAATATTAATTGTTAACCAGGTAACCTAATAACCAGTAACGCACATTATGAAAATTTGTCGTATCGAGTTTTCGAAGATACTAGATAATACTTTGTCGATTATTTTATTTTTTAAGCATTGTTATTTATAGGATTCTTCAGGCTTCTTCCGGATTTTTCGTAATTCCTATGGGACTTTTCTTGACATTTAATGATTTTTTCTGGACATTTTGGGAATTTGCGGATTCAAAAGTTTATTTACTTATTCAATTTGTGATCTTCGACTTAATGTTAACTTACAAATGGAGCGACCTACAGTTCAATGCTGGCTTTCGGCCGCACTTCAGAAAAATAACCCTAATCAGTCCAACTCCAGGTACGCAGGCCACAATACTGTTGCGTCCAACTCGTATTCGCATTGAACGGATATATTAGATCTAGAATTAGTTTAGCCTAGGAGAAACTAGTTTGTCCTAAGATCGAGTTTGGCCGGTAAAATATATAACTAGCAGAGCAGCCCGATTCATTCGTGGTAAACAAATGAAAATATGCATAAAGCTGTAAGAAAAATTCCAAATTTTTCATAAATTAAAGGAGATAATATACTTATTTTTTTTTTTTATTTAATTTAAAGCCTCCTTATGAACACTACATTTTACTATATGGTGCGGTGCAGAAGCATAAATACTATTCGGACATCCTAGTCGTGAACATCCGACATATAACTGACCGTCGGTAAAGTAGGGGCTTTCCAGCTGAAGCCCGGCCATCTTCAATGTTTCACCTTGCGATGTATTTATCACATGTTAAAGCAGAACCTCAGAGAATACTGAAGACTTTGAAATTCTAATTGAAAGCCTGCAGGAATAAGTGGTACTCCTGACTGAAACACATCACATATCATCATATTTTCTTGACTACCAATTATATTTTATTATTAGGGTGAGGTGGATAAAGGTAACGAAAGAAGAATAATATGCGCTCCAATTTTTTAATTTACCTGTTTAACACTTAGCTCCACACACCAAATATCAGTGTCATGTAATTTTTGGTTCATAGTTATTGCTAATTAAAAATTTCACGTCAATGGGATGTGCCATCCCCCTTGTCAGAGCCCATTTCTTTACACCCTAACTATGCTTTGTCCGAGGTTACTGTCTAGTCACCAGTTAAAGGCCCTTAATTGGCAAGTTGCCTTTGTCGGAGTGTTGAAGTTCTCGGAAAGACTAAGACCAAGAATTGATAACCTTTCACTTTTTTGTGAAGACGGTTAAATGAAATCTGAGAATCAACGATATTTTGCAGCCACTTGAAGCTTGAACTTTATTATACTGAAATTGAATGGGCTACGAAACTGCATACCCGAAATTTTTCTAGAAAAAATATTATTAACTTATACATACACTGTTGCTCACTTGTATGCTTTGAAATGCTTTAATTTTTTCAAAATCATTTTGCTCCGATATGCGCTTTGGCTATGTGTTGTGAAATAAACTAGTGGAAATATTCTAAATTACAGGTAGATGCAATTTTTTGTACTAACCTCAAATTCAAGTTTCATTAGAATTTTCTAGATTATTATATGCATCAATCGAGAAAAAATTTAAGGTCTAAAAAATCTACAAAAATTCTAATCGGAAGGGCTTGATTAGTCGGTATTCGACTTAATCGATTTAAAAAATGCATCTCTTTAACAAGGCTGTCTCCGGATCAAAACATGAGAAACCAAGTCTATCATGTAAGTCAGCAATGCTAGGAAAGCTTAATGCCGAAAGGAAGAAATATTCGTCTATATTCGTCGTATATTCGTCACTTGACTCTTACCACTCGTGCCACCGCAGAGGAAAAACATTTCCATACTTTTAAATGGTAACAGCATAGAAAGTAGTGGGGAAGATTTTAAGTCTACTTTCGGATGTAAGAAAGCTATCAAACAAGCAGTCAGCACATGCGCGTTTATATACCCAACCCGGGTACAGTTATAACTTCGGCAAAGTAGAGGCCTTTATTTACTTTAGCAGCAATAGCAATGCAGCCCCAATGTCCTACGTCTGTTGAATGGCCGTAAAGGTTCCAGCAGTGAAAGTATTCGCTGCAGTAATAGCTGGTGGTTGGTAGTTGGGGAAGGCATCCTCTGCAATGAAAAGACGAGGTGGTAAAGGACTTTTGGCTCCAATTGCAATTTCCATTCCAATTAATGATTTCGACCAAATTCTCTTAGGCGGTTACTGCGAAAAACTATAAGAAGAACTGGTGGTAGTAAGGGAAGAGAAAGGCCGCCTCTGCGTAAAAAATATCAAATGGAGAGGAATTTGGCTTCAGTCGGTGTTTCTAATTGCCGGCAGCTGCAAGGCGAAATATCGGCAGTGTTGTCACCTACAAAAATTGAATTCATTTTGGTGGTTTTTTTTTGGTAAGATTATCGATTCAGCTTCATGCTTTACATTGCAAATGATTTCAGCGCGAATACATTACCTTAACATTCCGCTTTATTTAAAAAGAAACACGCTTGTTTGCAATTTTAACATTTTACAATTCTTTTTATTTATTTAATTATTTCTTTTTTTTCACATTATAATTTACTTATAATTTTATTTATAAATTGAGTTAATCCTTAATTATGTTTTGTTTTCGTTCAAATTTGTCTGCAATTACTTATAATTGTTTTTAATGGCTATTGTTGCATGTTGTTGTGATGGTGTGTTGGTGTTTACATGTGGAAGTGTATGTTTGTCTTACAAATTCACTTATTATGCTACTTTTTTTTACTTTAAAATTGTTATGCATCCATAGATATTTATTTTTGTATTTTAATTACGATTTGGGTTTAGTTTTTTTTTTTTATTTTTTTGTTGCATTTCAAGTAAGTTTACAATTTTATTGGAACTCATATTTCTTGTTTTGTTTTTTGTTTTTGTTGCATGCACATTTTTAACAATAAATAAATTTTCAATTTATACACATTTGAATAGCTTTAAAAGCGCCTAAAATTATGTAAAGATTTTTAGTTTAGTTTTTGTTTTTTGTATGTTTTCGTAATCTCAATTAACTCAATTAAAAAATCAACAATTATAAATAAACAAATTCAAGAATATGTATTTGTTTTGTAGTGCTGTGCAAATTCAATGGCATTGGCGCACCAGAAAAAAATGTTATTGCGTATTGTTTGCTTCGGTGTGGCCAGCTGTATTTAATCTTCACCTGTACACACAAATAAAGTGGCATTTTTAATTGACTTTTTAACCTTGGCTCGTATTGTTTTCCATCAGCTTTGTTGGTACAGTGTTTTGTGCGTACGTGTCAGTTTCCACTTGCAGCTTGCGTGTGTGTGTTTGTGTATATATGTATATGGTCTTGCCTTTGCTTAAATTAAGAATTCAGTTGACTGTATTCACATCAAATCAAATCAAATCAATTCCAATGACATGATCTCCTTAAAATATGCAGACTTGCATATTTTTCTTGCCATTTATGTAAACTGTAGATATTTGCATTTTTTCTCGACCAGAAAAATTATTTTTAAATTTCATATTTTAACCATTTAATTATTTTAATACTACATATCAAATTTGTCTTTAAAATTTTTTACAGTAAAATTAGCGTTGAAATTTTAAACAAATTCGCTGAAAAATTCTACATTGCATGACTGTAACTTTTTATGTTCAGTATTTACGTTAAAAATTTGCTTGTTATTTTACTAATTTTTACTCTTTTAATATTTCATTATTTTCAATTGTTTTCATTAGTTTCCTGTTATCATAACTGTATGTTTTGGATTTCAAGCCTTTATGTATAATTTATGTACATACATATTTCGTATATATTTATACATTTCCAGCTAGATCAGTTTCTTCATTTGCCTTTTTCATAGTCTTTTTTCGTTTCTTTTTGCTCCACATTTTTTTTTTTCATTCTGCGCAAAAACGGTCTACACTCCATTTGTGTCTTGACCTTTTTCCTTTACCTAAACATGTCTTTTCCTTCCCTTTATCTTTCGTTTTGCGAACTGTGCCATTACATATTTACAAGATGAGATGAATTTTTTGGTAGCGTCGATGAATTGGGCGTATCTTTGCTTAGAATGATTGAGCATTTAGCTTCTGAGTGAGTAAATTTTTTACATATTTCTTTATGTAACTTGTTTAGGCGCTGATGATGTGTGAAGTGTCTGTATGTGGTACGCATGATGTTTGGATGATGAGAAAATTAAAACAAAAACATAGAAAAAGAAAAATAATAATAATGATTATGCGTTGATAATGATAATAATCTTGTAACAGCAAAGGCGTTTCACACACACGCAGTGCTCGGAGCGTCGTTCAATGTCTGTTTGGACTGCAAAGAGCGTAGATGGAAGGCGAGAAGGAGAAAAAAGAAACATAATAATACAGATTAGTTTCATGTTGGAATTGGAGTATATTTTACATACATATAAACGCTTCCATGTATGTAAAAACTGTAAAAATTTGTTTTTTATTTTAAAAATTGGTTGCGAAAGCAGGCCATAATTTTCGCCCATTAAAAAAATTTCCAAATTCTGTTTTCGTTTCGACATATGTACATATATTTTTTTAGACACTCAGAAACTTAGCATAAGTTTCGGTAATTTGAAAGCACTCATTAATGCTTATTCATAAAAAAAAACTAGACATAAATGTTTGATTGTTTAAAAAAGGGCAAACATTTTTTCATTTCAAAATTTAAAATTTTTTTTAGCCATTCAAAAACGTTGCAAAGTTTAAATTTTAAAGCTTGTTATGAATTTTCACTCGTTAATGAACTAGACATAAATTTTTTGCCATTTAAGAAATTGCAATTTTTTTTTAACCATATAAACACTTGGCAACCTTTTTGGGTAACTTAAAAACGAGACATAAATTTTTGTTCATAAAAAAGACCAGACATAAATATTTGGTAGTTTAAAAATTGGCCAAAGAATAGTGAGACTGAAAAAGTGGAAAAATCATTTGTAGGTTCATATTTGAAAAGGACATAAAATATGGCGGTAAAAGTGGAACATCAATTTTTTCAATAGATTCATGTTCTATTTTTAGATGGCCATAAAATCATGTACAGTTTTGTATGTATGCCCATTTTTCAAATGACCAAAAAATTGATGTTCATTACCTTATTGACTAGAAATCTTTGTGTACTATTTAAATGGCTATAAATTTAGGCCCATTTATGGAATGAAAAGCAGCTTCTTATAAAAATACAATCGCCGTTCGGAGTCGGCGTAAAACTGTAGGTCCCTCCGCTTTGTGTGACAACAACAAGGCGCACGCCACAAATCGGAGGAGAAGCTCGGCCAAGCACTAACATATGTGTAAGCGCCAATCTATTATTATTATTATTATTATTATGGAATGTCGCCTATGCCGTATTTTATTGACCAGTTTTGTATCCAGTTTTTAAATTACCAGTTATGCTCAGTTTATATATGAAAATAATTTATGTTCACTTTTTTGATTGACCATAAATTACTATTACAATACTTTAAAACATATAGCAGTAGATACTTAAATAACGAACACATATATCCAGTTTTTAAAGAACACAAATCTAATAGACAATTCTTAAGTGACCAAAAATGCATGTCCCGTTTTTGAGTGACCATAAATTCGTGTCTTATTTATGCTTATGCTTCGCTCATAAATCGTGAAAAATGTATGTCCAATTTTGGAATAAACATAAATCCATGTCCGGTTTTTGACTTCACAAATTTGTATGTACAGTTTTTACATATTTAATTTTTAAACCAACTATCGTTGGCATTTTGAGTGTGTAAAAGCAGAAATAAACTAAAACAAATTATCGCTCGGTTAGAAGTGTTAAAAGTATGGCGAACAAATAAGTAGTGTTTATAAAATATTTAAAAATTATAAATTGCTTAGAGATTATTTAAGTTCCATAAAAAAAATTATAAAAGTTATTTTAAGTATAAAAAAAAAAATAATTCTTACTTTATATAAATTTAAAAATATAACAAAAATATCTTAAAACAAAGACTTAATAAAAACTATTGTCTCAAATTTGTACACTAAATAAAAATGATGTAGTTATATAAAAAAATCTAAAAAAAATATGCATAAAAAATTTACATAGAAGACGACATGTCAGGTTAAGCTATAGAAAAAATAAACCATTAAAAGATTTCATGCTCATATTATTCACATCGCCGATGCCTTTGCAAAACTCCCCATCGACCAGCTGCAATACCGTCTATCTTACGGCAGTCAAATTTTACAGGAAAAGCGAAAAAACTTATTTTCTTTAAGATCGTTGACTTGATAGGCGGCATTTCATCTATTTGTAATTTTAAAAATCTTTTGTTGAGATAACCATTTTACGATTGTTAAGCGTTAACATCGGTGCCTGGAGTTCAGGGTTACCAAATCTCATGTTTGCCACTATGGCAATTTGGGCGGTTTTGCAAAGGCATTGGCGATACGTATAAGTACATTCATATTTCTAATAAAATCATGCACACTAGTGTTAGTAGCATTTTAGTAAGGTATGCAGGCATGTTTCAGAACGAGCAAAACTTATATAAGAGTAACCAAAATAAGTAAATTGCACTTATGTATGTACATTAAGGTGGTCCAAAGAGGGTAAATTTGAAATTTTAATGCTCTCACCCCCTGTGATTTTTCTATATCGAAAAAAGTATACCCCATATTTTTTATTTTGAAATCAAAAAATATTTAGAGGTCGCTCAAAGCGAACAAAGTTTGACGAACCTATAAATTATAGTAACTATGAAAAAATGCATAAATAAACAATTGGGTATTATTATTGGGAGTCTCCTGCAGAGAAGCAGAGTTTTTCGATCGAAAAATATTGACTTTTAAGAACTCTATACCATTTCTACCAAAAGTTTTTTTCTCCATATAAAATAAATGGCGGCCGCTGAGGTGTAGTGGTAAGCAGTGCGAGCTTCCACTGCGCAGGCATAGAAGCAGACTTGTGCTGTATATTTTTAAACTTTTTATTAGAAGAAGCATATTCGAATATGTATGTAGACTAATGAGGGCAGTATCAGAGCATCCGCCAAGCGTACTATTACTACTATGCTATATAAGTTACGATATAACTGAAAACTAAGCTAGGCTTATACTAGGTTCACATATACATAAGTACATTATCCCCATTTTCGAGCTTACCACCCTAATCTGTAATTATAACAAGAGATTAGCCATATAAAATTCATCCCTTGTTAATCTGTAAATATAAAATAATCTCAGATTTAACCGATAACTTTTATTATGGCAGAAAAACGTGATCACGGTGGCACAGAGAAGAGACATAAATTTTCCTTGAGGTGTGAGAATAACAAGCACAACAAATTTGACGGCTAATAATCTAAGATTTGCCTGTGAAAACGGGTTGATTAAAGAACGAGCCTTGATTGAGTTAATATTGATATGTGAACATAGTTTTAGATACCATATTTCTTAAATATTTTTTTTTCTGCAGTGCCTAAGAAATTCAAGTAGCATGAGAACGCTACTCTGATGGCATCGTATAAGGGTTTATCCTCTCTTTGGCACATAGCGTCTAAGGTGCGATATTTACCTAAACAAATTTTGAAACCTTTACGGACTCACAATAGTTTAGAAAAATTTAATCCACCTAATTAATTAATCAAAATTTATTAAAATTAAGTTAATGCAATTATTTATTTGATTTCCACTAGAATACAATCGTTTATTGCTGCTTGTTTTTTAGCAGCACTAATCACTTACTATTAGGAGCTTTTTAAATTAAATTAATATTTTAGATTGATTTCAATTAAATATGCTGCATAAAAATTAGGTATTTATTAAAGTTATATTAAATAGGAAACTATCAAATTTAATTGCCATTCATTATTTAGAGCGGAATAAATCAGAACGTTGGCAAACATACAACCTACATGCAAATAGTATATTGTAGATGCATACTATGTTTGTGTATGTATATGAATTTGTTAAACACTTTGAAAGTGATAGCAGAAATCATTTGTGTAGTTGTGGTAAAGTTACTAATATCTGCTGTCAACACGTATTTTGATATTAAATAATACGCGAATAGATAACGAAAATGTATAAAAATATAACTAAATATCAATTACATGGGGCTGAAATTTGTGCATTTTCTGTTTATTATACTAAGTTGAATTTGAACGAATATTTACAGAAAAACACATGCTAAAACATGTATTTTGTTTAGAAACATTTATTTATTTAACTATTTTATTTTTTTGATAAAATGCTCGCAACAAATGTAGTAAATAGTACAACTGCATAATTCCATTTATTAATCAATATTTTGTTATTACATACTGTAGCCAACTTTAAAACGTTTGTATGTACATTAGGGTGCATAAACCCCCATGGCAAAAAAATCGCTAACTGCTTTTCCATCGGAAATATAAAGTTTATAATATTTTAAGACGTCCGCCAAAATGTTTTGGCAAAATATTATGATTTAAATGAGCTGGACATAAGGCAGAGAATCGATTTGTCAATAAATAAATTTAGTTTTAAAAATTATTTTTCTTAAAAATCAACTCACATTATAGAAGACTTTAAGGTTAAAAGTTTTGCGTAAGAATGTTTACAATTTTTTATCAACTACATTCAACAATTTTATTGAGTTTGAGGGCGTTTTTCATGAACATTTTTGCGGAAAGCAACAAAAGTTTACGTGGCGAACTTAGCTCAGGGGGTAAGATTACTGACCTAGGCGGCTGGGGTCGTTGGTTCGAATCCCAGTTGAAGAAGTCTGATGAGGAGATATGGTGATCTC